ATATAATATATTAATATATATTATATTATAATATAATAATAACTCTCAAACATTATTTTTTGTAAATTGTCTTTAATTTCAAATCATTTCAATATCAACACTGTTGGATTTTATAACTATTTAGTTATAAAAAAATGTATTATAAAAGAAATAATCAACTTGAATCGTGTTGAATCGTAAATCATATTTATACCGTTGCTAGAGAAAACCGGCGGATAAAATCTTTTTTTCTCAATTAGAAGCAGCCGGATGAAAATCAATAAAATTTTATTGATTAAAAGATATGATATAGACGATGTACAATGGCGGGCACATAATACGAGATAAATGATTGCAACGGGACGGATTATTAATACCGCTGTCTGTTGATAAAGTCTGTCATGAGCACAGTGACTAAGGGAAGCCGGAATAATATTGCAGTACTGTTCCTGCATCGGATTTATTATACAATCGTATTGCACTGTGACGCACGAAAGTTGGCGAAACGACTGGCGTTTCGTAATGTGAGAAATTATCTCAGAATAGAAATTTTACCGTTCTAGTCCGATAAACGGATATAAACCCCCTTTTTTTTTAGAACGTTACTAGTAATGACACATCGCGTGCATGTCATTCATGATAGTGAAAAGCAAAAGCAAAAGAAACACAGTGAAATTTCACTGTGATCCGTAACAAATTATACTGCTATTATATCTTGATTTTACTTAGATAAAACTTGATTAAATGCACACACAAATTTATTAATTTATATAAAAATAAAATATGTTCATACACGTTAACTCAATGTTAACAATACATTTACGCTTAAAAGAATATCAACAAGAGAAATTATTTATATATTGAAGTGTACGATTAATATTTTTGCATTATTGTTCGTCAAAGAAATTTATTTTTCAACATGTTAACCGAGATCATTTATTGCAATATGATGACATTTGGTGCAGATGTCGCATACACTTTCACTGTTTCACTCTTGAGGGATGCCTGATGTAACCGAATCACGATCATATATCAATTCTCAAGAGTTATATGAGGTCCTACGAACGATGGCGAAATTCACTTTTCTTCGCTTAATCGAGATTCCCATCGTCGAACGACATAACAATAGTCGTAGACGAGCGAGCGAGTGTAATACTTTCTTAAGGCTGGCCTTCACCTTGACTGCCGGCGACTTCAATAATATTACTTTATTATCTTGACTCTATCATCAAACTGTGATCACAGAGAGAAAGAGAGAAAATCGATACGATCAACGTTTAGAAACTAACGCCAATCTCACCCTCTCGCAAATATTATCAGCTGTTGATGATAAATAGCCAATGATCCGCTAAGTTGTATGTAATGATTTGTCGATTGTGATTATTAATTAAGATAAAATTGTTTGATAAAATAACGTATTTCAAAAATTTCCAGAGTATATCCTTTATTCTTTATTATTACATCTTTTAATTATTCCTAATGAGAAATATGAACAATATAATTTCTAATCTAAAATAAATTAGTAGAGATTGTTAAATAAAAATTGTTGGATATAAAATATCTAATAAAAATTTTTTTATATCAAATTTGAGATAGTAGAACGATGATTATAAAGAGAAATTTATTTTGCTCAAGTTATAAATTTTATTTAATTGGACTAACGTTCAATCCGACAAGAACAGCATTGTTGGATGCAACTAAATAGAAAGTATGCGCACAGATGACATTTAGACACGTTGGCCTGATTCCCTAAATACGAGTCTCGGTAAAAGGATTATCGACAGAAACAACCGGTCTTTCTTCGCAAAAGCCCAATTTTTGACAGGTCACGTTGTCGTTTCAAAGCCATTTATAACGGTACATTCACCGAATTTTCTGTTTTAATCGTGCGTGTTGTTTTGTAAATTTGAATAAATAGGTCAGATAAACAATTATTATTTATAAGTAAAAATATGTGGCAAAATATGTATAACAATTTCTTGATACCTTAAAATAAATAATATCCTGTATTTCCGAAGTCAAATGTATAACGCGCTTCCCAAAAGTGTTTAATAAAGTCAAATAAAGAAAATTGTTGCAAACAAATCTGAGATTTTCTAGATTTTTTTATCAGCAAAGTTACAATCTAGAAAAATATAGCGACTGGTTAATTCGGTAGTCAATATAAGAATGATTAACCTCAATTCAACGTTTCACTTTAATACAAAATTCTGAGCATAAAGAACTCGTATAGTTATTTTTCAATTTATGACATTATAGACGTAAGTACAGAAGCAGCATTTCCGATAATCACAGAGAAAACTTTCGTTTCCATTTTTTTAATAATTATATTACGTATCTAACCGTTGACATATTAAATTTATGTTTCTCCAAACAAAAAGACACTTACATGCTAATCTTTTTCATAGAAACTTCAACCAATACGTACATCTCTTTTTCTTCTTTTTTTTACCTTTTTGTAGAAGTAATACGCAATTTAGTGGAAGAATTGAAGATTGAAAGTGAATCGAAGGAAGCCAACGTCAATCCCTTTCTCCTAAATCACTACTAATCACAATCATTTAGCGATCAAAATGTTGAACTTTCGTCGCCCAACAACGCTTTGCTCTATTTTTCCCACTCTATATTTCGCGGTGCGTGCACCCAATCTTTTCGCACTTTCTATTCTGCATCACTGAGCAGATCAATGGCAATACTTTTCTCAATGTAGTAATTTTTAGCCATGCGTTATGTATATTGTTATGTCGCATGCAACGTGTCACGTAAGAAATATTGTTGTATGAGATTGTTTCAAAACGTTCGTAATTTTGTGATACTGTCAAGAAATCGAATAACATAATATTTAAAAATTTTTTAATAAGTAGGAAATTAATTATCAAAATTAATAAAATTAATTAATTAAATTTTTTTAATACTGTTAAAAAGTTATGCAAAATAATTATTTTGTGTGTATTTGTGTAACAATTGTAAATATGTAGAAATAAAAAAATTCCGCACAATAATAATATAACAAAAATTTCGTGAATTTTCTTAAATCACAAATTTTATCTTCTATTTATATAATGATCTAAATGATTCTTAAATGTTTTTATCGATAATAAAATTAGTAATAAAAAAGTTTGTAAATTACAATGTATTGTTATTTCACTGAATAAATAGCTACAAAATAAACTTTATATTTTCAAGATACTATTCAGTTTTTTGAAATGCATACACAACAGATTGGTTAACATGGTGAGAACCATGGCTAATCATACAATTTCATCATTTCTATTTACACATTATGTACACATGTTAGATATATGCTATGTACACCAACTAGATTCAATAATTTCTTTTCTGTTCTAACGCGCATATAGATGAATAAATTTACAATATTACATTATCTTTAGTTAAAAATATTTCATTATGTCACTAAATCACGTAACACTACTTTATTTTATATGTTGTATTTTGTACAATTTATTGTTATGGAATTATTATTTACAAATATTTTAATTAAAGATTCATTACAAGAAAGAAAATTTATTATTATTTATATGAAAAACCATTTATTTTTCTATACACAAATTCTACTCACAATATAGAGAAATATATTTTGATTATATGCCGAACTTCTTTTCAAAAATATTTCTAAATTCTTTGAATAAAAATAAATTAAAATCTTTATGCTATTTCGATCTGGCATGATATGATGAATGTGATGAATGTGATGCATCAAGTGCAACGTACTAGTATCGACCTGCAAGAAGGCTGATTACTTTTCACGATGCGTAACCATCGCAGTCACGCGCAGATCACTGCAAAACAGTGGCGTGAAATTGCGGAAAATCATATTTTTGCACAATTCACATATGTAACTACGAACGCGAATTTTCCGTGAGGTACATAATGCAACGTTGTTTTCAAAGACACGTATATACAGATGCGTTTCATCAGAGTGAGAAATTTCGTCGCTAAAGAGGAGCAAGACTATTAGTATAGTAAAGAAAAAATACGCTGATTAATTGTTTGATTTACTAACATAGTGTGAAAAGTGCAGTCAAGTTAGAAATAATATACAGACGTCAGAGTCGATAGCACAGAATAAAATTATGCGGTTTTCATACAAGGCGCAATAAAAATGAGAAAAATCCCAACAACCTGAAATCATTCAAGTAAAAACTAATAAGTTTTTACGATCGGTTTTCAAATTCAAATTTTACTGCGAATCAATATTGTATTTTACAGAATATGAGTAAGAAGAATTTTAAAGACAAACTGCATAAAAATTGAAATATTTATTTTAATTTTAAATTTTTTAAATTTTAAATTTTTAGATATTGTATGTATTAAATGCATGAATTAAATCTGTAGTAATATTAACAAATAATTAATGCTTTACTTTAATATTATAAAAACGTTTTTAACAACTTACATTTTTAGGCACTTTACTTGTTCATTATATAAAATGTAATTAAATTTTTTTATAATAACTAAAAAATTAATTAATATCACAACATAAAAAATGTCATTAAAATATAATCACGCACAGAAAAATTTGGAAACCGATGTTTATAAATATAATAAGAAATATATAATAAAAATTTGTATGTATCAAACAGTATATTTATTGTAATTGTTTTATTATGGCATAACATTAATCATCACGTTGCAGAATTGACGGTATAGATGTGCTTTCTAAGTTTAATGTTTATTTGACATATTCATATAAATTTTTTTAATTAACTATTAACGCACAATTGCTCAATGATTATAAACATGATTAAATTAAAAACAATATATTATTATTAATAAGAATGATGTATGTGTTTGAACATTGACCACTGTCAGTTCTGCATTTTATGCGGTAGAAAGCGTATTTAAATAATCTTCTATTAAACGTTGATGACAACAAAAAATTAAATTAAAAATTTTAAATTAATCTAAAATTTAATAATTAAATTATTAATGTGATTTAAATACTTGAATGCTAAAATAAAGGAATAATCGTCGAAGTGTTGTTCAAAAATTTTCTAAAATAGTACTGTATAATTAATAATTAAATGAAATTTTATAAAAATATGTATTTTTTTCTTATACTTATTTTTTTAATAAAAAACAAATATGCAGTATATATTGAATAAAAAACGAGTAGTATATATTTTACAAAATAGTAAAAGAGAAACTAAATCATTAGCCATATCACTAAAAAATGTCGAACTACTTACCAACAACCACGAAGAGAAATAATGTAGTGGCAATCTTCATTCTCGTTGATCCAGTTTTGGATTATCACTATCGTAAAAAATTGCAAAGAGTTGTCGATCCTCGCAAAACGATCCTTAGAATTCGTTAGGAAACGACAGATAAAATATAACAAACGCAATGAAGCGCAGGGATTTCGCGAAAAGAACTTGTCTGATAAAGTCCCTGTTCTAAACGATCGACGCTCGCTGATGAAAAACGTGCAGCAAGCTACTCGTTCCCGCGAATACTAATAGTACATGGACATGCTCGATAAAGGCGAGCACGCGGGGCACTTTCAGACTTCATCTGGCTTCCAGGTCCGACCACTCTCGGGGCCTTACATTTCTCCCCTCCCCTCCTTTTACCTTTTGAATGAATTGAAACTTACGTCAATACATACATTTTCTGATCTCGATGTATAATTACTTTTTAATTATTTGTAGCAATACCTTTTTAATTATTTGTAGCAATAAAACATATATATAATTAATTACTCCATACATATTATAAATTAAAAATATTATTTCAATATTTATTTTTTATTAGAGATACTTTTTACTTTTTAATATAATATTAAAATGAATATGAACATTATTAAATAGCAACTTTTTTAGGAAAAATTATTTAACATTTAAACACGATTATAAATATATCTAACTTTATTATAAGATACTAAAAGATGAAAACATTTAATACACTGAAGGGATGTTTCACATTTTATGATTTATCTTCCTTTTGTATTTAATTTTATATTTAACCCGGTGCCCCGCGGCAGGTGCCATTTAACCCCATTTATTGTTTTACTTTAAACCAAAAGGACATTTTCCTTCAAACCTTCCTTCAAATCAAATTTAAAGTTTGTGTATTAAAATTAATGAAATACAAAATTAAACGATCAAATTCTAAATGTTAAAGGGGACTTACCGTAAAGCAAGACAGCCCTGTATGCCCCACCAAGTTTCAGGCCCTGGAACGGGCCGCTCACGGAACAAGTCCGATGCAAGGCTGCGAGTTAATCTTGGCAAGGTGCCGGTGACCCACTCGGACGAAACGATAACGGGACTGACATGCGTCCATTCAAAGACGAAGACTAAATCAATCTGGTTGGATATTTGTTCGAAATAAAAAACTTGGAAAGTTTATTGCTTCCGAAAATTAATCTAAATGTTACTTAACAAAAAAGAAAATAAGAGAAAAAGAGAGAGAGGGAGAGAGAGGGGGGGAGGAGAGAGTTCTATCCATAAATTTTAAATTTATTATATTAGTATCTTTTAAATACATTCTAACATAAAGTAAATTTATTTTGTTTTATATAACTTGCCATACAAAACTTTTTAGTAATATATTATCATCATAATATATATTATAATATTATTATTTTATCTATTTAGGATATAAGTTATAAGATTGCATTCGAGAGGAACTTTGAGAAGATTCAAATGTACTAACTTAAGAAAAAAAAAAATAGAAAAAAATAAATATAAAAAAATGATATTACAAAAATCAAGCCGGGGATTATATACATTGGATCTTATCTCGAAATGTCTGTTCGTAAATCTCAGAAGTCAAAAATCAAATCCCGTATATAGATCCCTGTACGGTGATACAATAGACACTTGCGTTGATTTTCCTGTGAAGTTGCACTATACATTTGGTGGAGAAGAAATAAAAAGAAGTTTGATGAAAAGATTGGACGCATCGTTCATGGCCAGTGCATCGGCAGTCGCGTTCAGAACGAGAGAGAGGCATGTTTCGTTGGGTACAGCGTGCACTTTCTTCCAACCGTTTCGATTCTAGAAGCTACCAGCGCATAATGCACTTGACCATGCCAAGAATGGGTCAAGGTTTAACGATTGAGCTTTACTATTTTATGGAGCATCAAATTACATTTGTTGAAACAGAGATTATTTCAACGATTATTTCCATTATACTTCCATTGTACTTCAGTAATATCACTTTCTATTAAATCACGCTGTTATAAAAATATTCTATAAAGATTTCTTGACATTTTATAAAAATAATTTAACAATTTATTATTTATTATTTATCATAAAGATATAATTTAAAAATAATTTCAAGATTCTTGCTCCTCTTTGCGGTATATCAGGCAATAATTCAATCAGTCGGTTAAAAATTGTGTGTTTGATAATCTGTTACATTCATTCGTAAATCGAATTCTCCAATTTCTCACTCAAATCTTTTATTTATTTATTCTTTCTG